ACCTTCCTATCACTCCGGCCGGCCACCGCGGACCGGAGTGCAGCTCGGCCACGCTACAGGGGAGGGGAGAAGCTGCAGCCGCCTGAGGCTCTTAACATAGCGCTCGGGCGGCTGCAGTATTTAAAGGGCCGGCCCAGGAACGCGGCCGGCCCCCAGGTGCCGCGGCCCACCGGGAAATTTCCCGGTGGGCCAGTCCGGCCCTGATCACAACAGTAATATGTTTATATATAGATACAGAAGTATAGACATAGCAATCACATATTTGTATCGAGCCATAACAACACAGTCCTCTAAGCAAGGGTGTAAACAGCCCCAGACTTGAAATTGCAGAAAGGAGTAGAAACAGGGCCAGATTAAGAACCCAGTGGGCCTGGTGCTGACAATTATGATGGGGCCTAATTACAGAATCTTATCGACCAAAAACACTAAAACAGTCATACCTCTCAAGCGTCATGTATCTGATGGAGTTGGTGGTGGAGGGAAACTCAAAGGATGCAGCTATAAGAAAACACATACTCAATGTTAATCTCTTCCTCTAATTAATGCTGTCATCTTTCAAGTAAATCCATACCCCCTAACAGCCATGTCCAGCAAAGCAGGAAGTCAATGGATGAGGTAAAAGGGTGGGCCACTGATGCAAATCATGCCAAAAGGGGCGTACATGCCCAAAAAGGGGGTATGTCTGTTCAAAGAATTGGAAGGCCAGCCTGGCATCAGTGTCCCTATCTATCACAGTGTCGGTGTCCCCATATTGCCCATTACCCTAGTCACCCAGTGTCTGTGTCCCCATTTCTCCTAGTGTCCCCATGTCTCAGTGTGTCCCAAGTCACTAGGATGGGGGAGACATGGGGACACTGAGAGACCCAGGAACACTGAGACACATGGGGGCACTGAGACATGGGGACACTGGGAGACATGGGGACACATACATTTGGGGACACTGGGAGAAATGGGGTCATAGACACTATGGACACAGACATGGGGACACAGACACTAGGGATATGTGAGGGATGGGGGGAAAGGGAGCAGGGAGACATGGGGACACTGATACACTAGGGGAGCCATGGAGACACAGACACTTGGGAACACTGGGAGACATGGGGATACTAGGGACACAGACCTGGGAGACATAGGGACACTGGGAGACATGGGGACACAGACATTTGGGGACACTCTGAGACACTGGGAGACATGGGGAAACAGGGAGACTAGGGGACACTAGGAGACTAGGGGACACTGAGACACTAGGTCTCCATGTCCCAATGTGTCTCCCTATGTGTCTCAGCATCCCCATGTCACAGTGCCCCCTAGTGTCTGTGACCCCATGTTTCCCTGTGTCCCCAAGTGTCAGTGTCCCCATGTGTCCCCTAGTGTATCAGTGTCCCCATGTCTCCCTGCTGCCTTTCCCCCCATCCCTCACATATCTGAGCTGTAGTCTGTCTCTGCAGGCTGGGAGCTGCTGTCTGGACTCTCTGTGCTGTGTAGCTGCTCCCCTGCAGATCAGTGAGTAGAGAGAGTCAGGAAGATGCTTTCTGGTATTGCAGAGTAATCTTCGTTTATACTGAGAAAAATATTTTCAGACTGCAATACAGTCATGGCCAGGCAGCCTCAAATACCAGCTGTGCCTTAAAATACCAGTCAGGTGGCAAACCTAAGTGTAGTGTGTAAAAAAAAATGGGCCTATTCCATGGGCCTGGGCCTGGAGGTGCAGCACCATCAGCCCCTATGTTAATCCGGCCCTGAGTAGAAAGACCATCTGTTTTACCCTAAGCTTTCCAACCCTGTATTCCATAGAAAAAAATAAATGATTAAAGGCTCAGAAACCACTTGGTCACGCTAGAATTTTTCTTTTTACTTTGCCTCATCCAAGTGAATGGTGCATGATCGTTAATCAGTTTAAATCTTCCTAGCAGATATTTTAATGTTTGTAATCCCCTTTTATTCACTAGACACTCTTTCTCAACTACAGAATATATTGGTTCATGCGCATTCAGTTTCCTACTTAAGTACATGACAGAATGTTCTTCACCCCATGCACTTGTTAAAAGACTGGTCCTAGACCTATACCAGATGCATCGTTTTGCTCCACAGATTATTCTGTGAAATCTGGAGTGACTAAAACTGGGTCATGGCACAATGCTATGTTCAAGACATTAAATGTCTGTTCTTACTCATGGTTCCACATTGGCATCACTGAACTTTTAGACTTGGATAGCTCTGTTAAAGGTTTAGTGATTGTAGCAAAATTAGGGATGAATATATAGTAATGACCAGTGAGACCTAAAAATGCTCTGACTTGTTTCTTTGTAACAGAATAGGACTGGCAAGAAATAACCTATATTTTACATTTTTGGAGTTTAAGTAGTCCCCTTCCAATAGTGTAACACAGATATTCAGCTTCTTCCAATCCTAAAAAGCACTTAGCGGGATTGGCAGTTAAACCGGCAATTTGGAGAGAATCTATTTGCCTTCTTGGGGTAGATATATTTCAGTCCTTACTATTAATCACATCATCAAAGTAGGCAGCTATATATTCTCTATCCATTATATACTGAAAAGTAGCTAGGGCACCATGCAGCCCACATCTCCTGCCAATGTCACAGAGGAGGCCCTCTGGTGGGGTCCAATTCATTGCTCCTCATAGAAAAAGCACAGAAGGCTCAGGAAGCCAATGGGAATGACAGAGTAAGGTAACCTGCAGACAGAGTTCCTACAATTAAATGCAAATTCATTGCTAGCTGGTAAGGACTGTACAAAATATTTGAATAGGTCAATTAAGTAAATTACAAAGTAAGAGAACCATATAACTGCACTAAAACCTTGAGTAGAGAGAGAGGTATTGATGATGATGACAAATGAATCTACTTACAAAATTATTACAAATAAACCTGATGTAAATTTTGCAGAGACTTCAGCACAGGAGTACCAAAAAGGCAGATACATAGATGGTTTAAAAATACATCTTCTGTGATGCTTTGCCTTTCAAAAGACTTTCTAAATTCATGCAAAGCATTATGGGAGTTATAGTTCTACAACATTTGGGGATCTACCTTTTGGGCAACCCTGTTCTAGAACCTCATCAAATGCAGGTAGTTAAGAAGTTTGTTTCTAAAAGTAGAGTTGTTTACTCCCCAATTATAGGTAAAATATATATAATTAAACATGAAATTATTACTGAGCAAGGGAAGAAGATTTCATTGAAGCCTTACCAAATACCATAGGCTAAAAGAGAGGTAGTTAAGGCAGAAGTAAAGATGATGTTGGGCTTAGGTTTTATGTTTTAAAGTGAATACAGCAATCCTATTTTTCTTGTGCCCCAACCACATGTTGAAATATGATTTTGTAATTACTTTTGGAAATTGAATTACATTTCTAAATTTGATGCTTACCCTATGCCTCGTGTTAATGAAATAACACAGATTAGGGGGTTACCAGATACAGTGTTTAAGTACTTTAGACTTAAAGGACCACTATAGTGCCCTGAGGGTGCCCCCACCCTCAGGGTCCCACTCCCATGGCGCTGAGGGGGGAGGAAGGGGTTTAACTTACCTCTTTCTCCAGCGCCGGGTGGGGAGCTCTCCTCTTCCTCTCCGCCTCCTCTCCTCCTCTTTGGCTAAATGCGCATGCGCGGCAGGAGCTGCACGCGCATTCAGCTAGTCTCATAGGAAAGCATTTTCAATGCTATCCTATGGACACTGGCGTGTTCTCACTGTGATTTTCACAGTGAGAAGCACGCAAGCGCCTTTCACGAGACCGCAACTAGAGGATGGATTAACTCTAACATAAACATAGCAGTTTCACTGAAACTGCTATGTTTATAAAAAAAAAGGGTTAACCCTAGCTGGACCTGGCACCCAGACCACTTAATTGAGCTGAAGTGGTCTGGGTGCCTATAGTGGTCCTTTAAAGTAACACTGTAGTCACCTAGTCCACTTCATCTCATTGATGTTGCCTGGGTGCAGAGTCCCTGTCACCTTAGTCCTGCAATATAAAGCATTACAGTTTTTGCAGGATCCACACCTCCTCTTGTGACTTTCATACAGACAGCCACTAGAGGCGCTTCAGGGTCACAGAGTAAAATTCTGTCATATGACTCTGAAGCACCATAGGAAAGCATTGCCTCAATGTTTTTTTTATGGGGAATTTTGAATGCATGCTTGCACTTGCAACATTAGGTACCCAATTCTCCCCTATGAGGAGCATTGGATTGGACCCCAGAAGTGGAGGCAGGCCATGTCATCAGGGGAAGAGAGCTAATCAGCTCCTGAGGCTTGTGTGCTTTCTTCAAGTTTTCCTTTACTACTGGCATTATGGCTTCCATACACTCATTGTATTTGTGCAATGAGTTCTATAATACTGTGGAGAGGGGTGTGTTCCTGTTTCCATGTCTCTTTAGCAATATCTAATATACATCTGGGATGTCTACCATATAACAACTTGAGAGATGAAAACCCTGTGAAACATCGTTGCACTTCTTTAATGGAGAACATAAGAAATGGCAAAAAATAATCCCAATTCTTTCCATCTTTGTATTTCATTTTGCAACATGGCCGTCTGTGTTCTCTGAAACCATTCAAAATGGCCATCTGTTTGCAGGTGATAAAATGAGATTCTCGGCTGATTAGTTTTGGAAAAGTTGCACGAATCCTTTGTTGCATTTGACATAAAAGTCCATTAGTCTGTAAAAATCTCTTTTGGTAGGCTTACTTTGCTAAGTATCATCATCAATTATTTTGTGATATTCTTAGTGTTTACTAAAGGTACTACTTCAGGATACCAGGTTCCTTAATCTAGTATAACATAATAAAATATATGATTTTGGTGCCCCATAAGACCATACTAAATGCATTGCAACAGCTCAATAGGAATTTCTATAATGGGTAAATGTAATAAAGGGTTATGAAAACCTTTCAGTGGAGCTTTTTGCTGACATTCTGGATTGGATTTACCAATTCTCTCAACTTTTGTAATTTTATCTTGCCAATAAATTCTTGAAAGTACTCGCTCTCTGGTTTTCTCAATGCCAATATGTTCCCCTAACACATTACTATGTGCAAGCTATATATATGGAATTTGGGAACCAACAGCTTCTCTACTTCCACGATCCTTTTTTTATAATCTGTGAAGCAAATCATATTTTACTTTAAAAAGGAAAACATAAGGTTTATTAGGATCGGTAATTCTATCATCTGTACATTTTCCATTGCAACTGTTAAACCTGGGCAGTATGAACATTACCAGGACTACTGGTAATTTCTAGATCCTGAAACTGTACATCTTTTACAGAAGCATCATTACTTTATTGGAGTTTTGCCCCATTAGCCAGACATACTAGAGTTAACTCTTTTTCACTGTCTGACTCCAACATTAGAAAAGAAAATTTCTATTTTCTGTCAGTCTCACAGACATTTCCCTGCAGACACTTCCTGGCTTTGTAGGGCCTTTTCCTGTATTCTGCAAAAGTAAGGGTAATCGATGCCTATAACCATATCATATGGCAAAATAGTTACTGCACCTACACAACATTTAACCATTGCAATATCAGTAATTATTTCTACTTCTGCTGTGGGGTATGAGTGAGTGTAACTTTGTACACGTACAATAGCAAGCAATTGTAACACATCTCATATTTCAGATTTCAGTGAGGTTTTCACCAATGAAACTTCAGTTCCAGAATCAATGGGGGCTTGTACATTCTTACCTTCAACCTGCACAGTCCTTAAATAATTAGTAAACAAAGCATTAGTTACCACAGACATCTTACTGCAAGTCAAGACAGTATTATATTGTGTTATTACACAAACAAGAGCC